CTGTGATTAACCATATAGAAGTGTGAATTTATAGCTGTTATGTTTTTATATGTGTGTACTTTAATTTTAAATCATTAGGTGCAAAGAACAAGACAGAAGACAAGTTGCTGGAAGTTCTTAAGGCAAAAGAGCTGCCCAATTTTCATGAAACCTTAAGCTGTCTCCAAGAACAACTAACTGCCAAGGCTGTCAAGATGGCATCTCGTCTCTACCTCATACCAGGTAAGGAACTGATGGCATTTTGTTTGATCATGGTAAACCTGACATAACTGGAAGATCCTTTTGAGCTTGAGGTTCAGGACGATTTAACCATTTGTTGACTTACGTTAAATGTTAGTTTTGTTGAGATTACTTGTGCCTTTTTGTAGATTTTGTAGTTGCTTTTGTCTTTGTGAAGATGTTAGGGTGAACCAGGACTTTGTGGACAGAGCTCTGAACCTGTACAAATCTGAACCTGCACATCTGACCTCCATTGAGGAAGTCAATCGTTGGGTGGAGGAATCCACCAAAGGTCACATAACCAACTTTATGTCCAGTCTTCCACCAAATGTTATTCTAATGCTGATAAACGCCATTCATTTTAAAGGTTGGTCTGCATTTCAGCTGTAATAACTTAGATAAGACAAACTTTTTACTTTGAAAATAACATATTATAAACCATTTATTTGAAAATAATGAGTAAGATGTCTGTACTCACATGTATTCAAGGTTTAAGGAAAATATATATATTTTTACCTTGATGTTTTTAATTTTAGAATTAAAATGTTAATTATTTTTTGGAGGATGTAAATTTTTTTTTGTGTGTGTGATTTAATTGTCCTCATACCAGGGGTGCCACTCTGGGCCCCATGAATTCCTGAAAAGCATACTGACTCGGGCCCCCTCAGTATAATCGCTGAGGGGAAGGGGTGTTTGCATTGGGCCCTCTCTCTGATCATGGACTTTGGAATCATCCTAACCATCTGAAATTCTTGAAAAAAACGTATCAAGTAGTTTTATAATATTATCATTTATCGTTGTTATTACTCCCAACATCCTATGATTGTTTGAATGAATACTTCACTATATTTGTGAAAACAATACTTATTAATTACTTATTATTAAAAATGTTAAATTTAAAAATTACATTACATTTTTAAATACCGGTATCTTTTTTTATTTGAAAATAAAGATGGTTACACCACACAACATTTTACAGTCATTCAAATTTTACTTTTTAAAATACCGTGTAAAACAATTTCCAAGAACTTGACAGATGTTTTCATTTATATTTTTCCTTTTGTATATAGTGGATACTTTTATTATTCACTGACCCCGTAAATGAAAAAGAAGTAAGTGGAAATGTAAATAAGCAAATAAACATGTCCCTTCTTAGGTGAGTGGCAATCCCGATTTGATTCCAAGTTCACTGTAAACGATATTTTCTACATTGACAAAAAAACCTCTGTGAAAGTGGACATGATGATGGGATCCAAATATCCACTCAGCATGTTTGTAGATAGAAAAGATGGCACTCAGGTAATCTAGCTGTTTTGTAGTATAATTAATCATAATTTTACATTTACCCCACAGCCTGTAAATTTTGATTCGGTTTGATGTTCTTCCATACATCTTTAGGTTGCAAGATTCCCTTTTCAAGGAAATATGAGTCTTCTGGTGGTAATGCCTGTGCCAGCACATGGAAATCTGTCAAATGCGGCTGCCAAGCTCAACATATCGGACATGTATGAACATTTTCAAAGTGAGAAGTCCATGCATGTTAAACTACCTAAATTCAAATTACAGTACAAGCAGGATCTGCGACAAGTACTCACAAGCATGGGTAAGATTAAACAAAAAAAGTTTATATCTACATCTCAATTGACTTTTGGCTGTGAATCCCATCATGTGATGATAATCTGCCCTTATAAGGGGGTGTCCTTTGGTCCACATGAAGTCGATCAATGCTGTTGTGAAGTGAGAGTTAGCAGAACTGTCACACATTCTCATCTCTTTCATTCAGGTCTTGGCTTGCTGTTTACTGGGCCTGATTTATCCCGAATCGCACCAGGCCCGTTAGAGGTTTCAGGCGTACAACATGCCTCAAGCATGGAGTTGAGTGAGGAGGGGGCCGAGGCTTCAGCCGCAACCTCTGTTACTCTTGTGCGCACCGTTCCTACTTTTGCGGTCAACATGCCATTCATCTTCGCACTGGTGGATGATGCCTCTTACATGCCTCTCTTCCTGGGTATGGTCACCAACCCCAACCCTGGAGCGACAACGGAACAAAGCGATGACCCAAAAACTGAAACTAAAAGCATCATGATGCCAAGCAAAGTGTCCCAGAATGATGGGACAATGAATGATAGTCCACATATGGAAAACATGCTAAGTTACATGTTGAATATGTGGAAGGAAACAGTTCCTCAGCAGTTCCTCAGACATCAGGAGATGGAGGATGGGAACTAAAAGGAGAAGATGGATCCTTCCATATTACAGTACATATTTTTTCCAATTAAAATTTAGTGTTTTGATGTTCATGGCCTGCCATGGATGGATGTCATATTTAGTTTGACATGAATGAGGCTGTTCAATGGTATCTACCCTGACTAAAGTTTATGTAACAGATAATGTCCAGTCAGCTGGTTACTATTGCAAAATAATTTTGCAATAATAATTGGTCGACTATACATTTTCTCAGGTATTACACAGCTACTTGCCAAATAAATAAATATATGGACATGAAAAAATTGATTTGAGTAGAAATGATTTTATAGCGTCATAATGCTGAAGAAGGTTAGTATTTATTTAAACATATTTGACTACTGAATGCCACAACTGACTAATCAGAATCAACCCAGGTAGCCAGCGCAATCGGACCAATTGCGGCTGAGTGTCAGCTCACTCAGCTGTGTTCTGGCAGCGGCTCACCAAAAGTGCTCTGGCCCAGTAATGGTTGCCAGATTTGGCTAGGCTTTGGATGTGCAGATCTGGCCCGATTTGTACTGAGACATGGCACATTTAGCCACATTCGGCCCGATTACGGGTGAGTTTTTTCGTTTACAATGTGGTAAATAGTATGTAGCAGTGACACTTAAACTTAAACATAATATCTTTTACCTGCCCATGTAATTTTTTAGTGTATTTATTTTAATTCCTATTAATATTTTTTTTT